ACCTGCTGACAGTTCAAACATCGAGCCACATATGCAACAATATCCTTCTTCATCCTACGCCACCAATAAAGCTGCCGCAAGTCCTGATACATCTTCGCGGCGCCCGGGTGAATAGAATACCGAGAACTATGGGCCTCCGCTAAGATCAACTCTCGAATCCCATCGACATTGGGCACACAAACTCGCCCCTGCAACCTCAAAACACCATCATCATCTAAGGTCACCTTCGTGGCACCTCCACGCTGCACCGTGTCTCTCAGGACACACAAATGGGGATCATCAAACTGCCGATCACGGATACGCTCCAATAATGAAGAACGAGCGACCGTACAAGCTAACACTCTGCTAGGCTCAAAAATGTCCAACCTCACAAATCGATTGGCCAGGGCCTGAATATCCAAAGCAAGCGGTCTCTGGCTGACCGGAACATAAGCAAGACTACCCATGCTGGCGGACTTCCTACTCAATGCATCGGCCACCACATTGGCTCTCCCCGGGTGGTACAAAATAGTAACATCATAGTCCTTCAATAGCTCCTACCACCTCCGCTGCCTCAAGTTCAACTCCTTTTGCTTGAACAAGTATTGCAGACTCTTGTGATCCGTGTACACCTCACACGTCACACCATATAGGTAATGCCTCCAAATCTTCAGAGCATGAACAATGGCTGCCAACTCGAGATCATGAACCGGATAATTCTTCTCGTGGATCTTCAACTGCCTCGAAGCATAAGCAATGACTCTGCCATCCTGCATCAATATCGCACCAAGCCCAATACAGGAAGCATAACAATACACTGTATAGAGTCTTGAGCCTGTGGGCAAAACCAATATCGGTGCTGTAGTCAGAGCTATCTTGAGCTTCTAAAAGCTCGCCTCACACTCCTCCGACCATTTGAACTGGGCACCCTTCTGGGTCAATCTGGTCATCGGGGCTGCAATAGATGAAAACCCCTCCACGAACCGAAGATAGTAACCTGCTAACCCTAAGAAACTCCGAATCTGAGTAGCTGATGCTGGTCGAGGCCAATTCTTGACTGCCTCAATCTTCTTCGGGTCCACCTGAATACCCTCTGCTGATACAACATGACCCAGAAATGCAACCGAACTCAACCAGAACTCGCACTTCGAGAACTTAGCATATAACTGACTATCCTTCAGAGTTTGAAGGACTACTCTGAGGTGCTGCTCGTGCTCCTCCTAGCTGCGGGAGTACACCAGAATATCATCAATAAAGACTATCACAAACATGTCCAAATATGGCCTGAACACTCGGTTCATCAACTCCATGAATGCTGCTGGGGCATTGGTCAACCCAAACGACATGACCAGGAACTCATAATGCCCGTACCGAGTGCGGAATGCTGTCTTAGGGACATCGGATGCCCTAATACTCAGCTGATGGTAGCCAGATCTCAAGTCTATCTTTGAAAACACCTTTGCACCCTGAAGCTGGTCAAACAAATCATCAATCCTCGGTAGTGGATACTTTTTCTTTATCGTCACTTTGTTCAATTGC